ATGTGGTGCTGAGGATCAAACCCAGCACCCTGTGCATGCCAGGTGAGCACATTACCACTTGAGCCACATCCCCGGCCCAATTCTCTAAATTCTTAAGAACACCTAAATTCTCTCCTAGAGAGAGAATTTTACACCTGCTTCAGTTTTATGGTTTTTTTTTTTTTTTTTTTGCGGTGGGGGGGTGTGTTTGTTTGTTTTTTGTTTTTTTGTATTCCAGCTCCAAAGCCTCTCTTCTTTAGGGCGGCTAATATGAAATTATCTGTGTTTAAGTGGGAAAACCACACTGTTAATCTGCTCATGGTTATGAGGTTTACCCATTACATGCAATTGAGAAATCTCACCAAGTGCTTTCAATCAAAGCCTTTTAAATCCCATCTCTCACCACTTTGAGGTAAGCAGTTTTAGTCCATGAAGACTCTGACTCTTTGGATTCTCTCTTCTGTTTTATTTCTGCTTAACCAAATTAGTCATGTCTCTCTGAGGACGCCTATTTCTTGCAATATTTTGCAAGATATGGCAATGTTACATGTATTAGTTTGCAGTACGATTTGCAGTATTAATTTTGAAACTTATTAGAATTAACTAACTGCTATAACTGAAAGCTTCCTAAAACCAAAACATTCATTACTCCCAGAGTTCAAATACATGATCCTGGGTGGCTTTTCTTATGTGGCTTCTCAAGGATACAAACCTATTACATAAATAGAGATCATATGTGGGAGATTTCTCACAGACTAGAGGCAGAAGTGATATCCATCATTTCTGTTCATATTCTACAGGCTAAAATTAATCACATGTTATCACCTAGATGTAAGAATGCTAGGAGGTACCATCTTTGTGTGTGCCAAAGGAAAGCAGTGTGGCAAATGCACCAGCTTTGGTTTTGCCACAGAAAGCCAATTCCAGATTAGAACAGAAGGTGTTAATGTCCTGAAAATAATATCTTAAGGAATTCAGAAGATTTCATATAATAGGTAACACGATCAATAGGAAATACATTAAAGATAGGGCAAAGATTTCTTTATTAACATGGGGAAAAGGCAATTAGAAATCACAGGAAATCTCAATCCCCCCGCCATTATGATCTTGTAAGAAGACTATAAGAAGGAAATAAAATGTTGTATAATGTTCATGGTACAGAAAGAGAATATATTTGTCTTCAAAGCTTGTCATAGTTTATCTAAGGAAGACACAATTCAATAAAATTAAATACAGAAAATTGTAGGGAAGATAATTTAAGATACTACTTGGTCAAGCAGGAAAATACATAATAAAAAAGAATGTAAATATCATTCATTAGTTTTCAGGATAGAGACCTGGTTTATAACAAAGCACAAAAAATCCAGAATAAAAATTTTAACAGCCTTGGAATGTAAAACAAAGAGTAACAGAACAGATTAGAGCCAAGTGTGGTGGTAACATGCCTATAATCCCAGCTACTCAGGAGGCTGAGGCAGGAGGATCATGAATTCCAAGGCAGCCTGGGCAACTTAGTGAGACGCTGTGTCAAAATAAAATAAAAAGGGATGGGGATGTAGCTCAATAGTAGGGTGTCCCTGGGCTCAGTCCTCACTAGGGCAATTAAAGAATGAAAGAATAGATCCGAAGGAGGAAAATAGATAAATAATATATATACATATATATTATGAGTCAGAGTCTAAAGTTGATAAAACAGAAACAGAAGTTTAAAATATAATTTAAAGTTATGATAGGGAATGGGAGATATCTTGGTAATACAGTGTTGCCTAGCATGTGCTGGGCCCTGGATTTAATCCCCAGCACAATAAATACATGAATAAATAAAGTAAAATCAAAGGCCTAAAAATAGATATGGCAGTAACTGAGAATATTAATAACAATAATATATTCATTAAAAACTGAAATGATTGGATTGGTGTATATGTATGTGAGCACACCTGTGTGTGTGTTCAAAGGAAATGCTCAACTCCAGCAGTCATTAGGCAAGATAAGCCCAAACTGTTCTTAGCCTTGAGCAACTGCCTCTGAGCTTCGCTGAAGATGGGACCCACTCAACCTAGTATATAGCAGAATACTTTTGACAGACATTTGGTAGGCAGCTTCTAAAATGGTGTCCAGTCACTCCTAAATCAGTTTCATGCTCATGCCCTTGTATATTCTGTTTGCCCAAATGTAGACTGCATTTGGCAAGTTGATTCTAGTACTCAGAATATGGCCAAAGGGTGGGATGTCACTCACAAAATTAAGTTATAAAAAATATTCAGGATTCCATTTGTGATCTTTCTGGATCTCTCACTTGTTCACTCTGATTCAAGCCAGATGCCATGCAGGAAGCTACTGTATGAGGAAGATCATTTGGCAAGAATCTAAGAAAGAACTCTAGCTAATCACCAGTAAGGAACTGAGGCCCTGAGCCAACTGGCTTGTGAGGAACTCCATCTTGATGACAACCACATGACTGAACTCGGAGCTGGGCTCTCCTCCACCTGAGCCTTCAGATGGAACTAGAACCCTCTCCAATTCCCACCTTGATTACAGCCTTATGAGACACCCTGATTCAGGGGACCCAGCTAGTTCCTATCTGGATTCCTGCCCCAGAGACTCTGTGAGATAGTAAATGTTTGTTACTCTTAAGTCTCTAATATTTAGAATAAACTGCTACCCAGTGATAGATCACTATTAAAAATATCCTTATTATTTGTAGACCTAAATTTTTATTTGCTTTTCTCATCCATGTGACTCATGTCACTCCACAATCTTCCTCACTTCTAGGGTGTTGTCTACCCAACATCCATTCTCCTTGTCTTTCCTGTTAACAGTCTGATTGAATTAGAGAATATGTTATGTTCATTATAGTTTCACAGCTTCCCTTGCAGATAAGATGCCCATATGACACCCTTGATGCTGAATGATAAAAGAGGATTACACTAAGTTGTTAACATGGTGGGCATTTTAACCTTTCCTATTTATTTTTTCTTATTTCCTACAGGAATTTTTTGATTGTTTGCAGTGCTGGGATTGAAGGGCTTTGTCTTGTGCATGCTAGGCAAGTACTCTACTACTGAATTACATCCCTCACCCTCTTCTTATTTACATGGAGCTGATACTGGAAGTGAAGCAACCATATTCTGTGAGGCAACAAATATATCCCATACATCAATAAGTAAAAAGATACCAATTCTTGATGACCTTCTGAAATATTTCAGTCTTGGCCTGATTATCATAAAATTATTAATTTGGGTAATCTACTATTTCTCAGATTTGACTTACTGACAGCAAACTTCATTCTTAACTCATATCTTGGCATGGCTGCATGCTGAGGTAAAAGTATTACAATCTGTACTCTCCATTTAAAAGTTTTCATTGAAGGGGGAGGTAGTGGGGAACAAAACCAACCAAATTATATTGTTATATTGTGTTCATGTACAAACATGAAACAACATTATTATAACTATAAAGCACCAATTAAAAACAGAATTTTGAAAAAAGATTTGTGTTTGGACACAATGAAATATTATCACGTCTAACATTCATATCCACATCTAATATTTCTCATATACTTTGAATTCCCCTATGAAAGATATTTTGTATTCCTTTCTGAAAGATAAAGATTTGTCTTACACAAACTGAACGTCTTAGAGGAAACTTATTGTCTAGTTTTCAAAAGTTCTTATTTTAAAATTATAAAAACAAAAGATTGGGTGTACTTTTCAGTGGTAGTGTGCTTGCCTAGCACCATGAGGTTCTGGATGATCCGATCCATCCCCAGCATAAATAAATAAATAGACAAATAGATAAATAAATGGTTTTAATGGGGTAGGGAAGTCTCTCAGAGGTTAAAGCTATAGCAAAATAAAACCACCTGTTCCTAGCCAATAATTTCATAAAGGATTAAACAATTTAAATTAGTTAAATTATATCAATACACACATATTATGTCTTAAGGGTGGATATAACATTTGCTCCATTAACTCCACTTTCAATTGTTTATCCTAAGAAAATAATTTGGTTAAGTGGGCACTAGAGCCGCCATTAGGGAACTTTTTAGATAAGCCAGGAGAATTCCAAAAGATTAAATTTTTATCCGATATAGATTAGCCCTGTTCTGCTTAAAAATCTCCATGACGGCATTTAGGATTAAATTCAAATGCCTTCAATGAGCTCTTGATGATCTGGCCTTTTCTATCTTTGCAATCACAGGGCGATTTCACCCTTCTTTTCTTCTCCCCAAGAACACGCACCAGGGGTAGGAGAAGGGAAGCAGGAGGTAGGAGGGGTAGGAGAAGGGAAGCAGGGGGTAGGAGGGGTAGGAGAAGGGAAGC